TGGTTGACATCATGAGTCAATTGAAGCTAGACTTAAACTAAAACACCACCTAATAATTTGTTATGTGTTAGTAGTCAATAGCTTGTTCAATGATTACGAAGTTATTTTTTTAAAAGATTTGCAATTTTTTTATGCAATTGGCTTTCCATTCCCGTTCTTTCCTTCTCGATCTTCTACTGAAATATATTCTACTCCTGATTATCGTTATATACTACTTGTATGGATATAAGTAGCTCATACCATAATAGGTCGGATAAAAAAGAATTTACAAGAAAATGTGAGAGTTGGTTTTATTCCTAAATGAATGACACTTTTATGAAATCGAATTAAGTTTTAAAAGAATTTCGGTAATATCTTTAGATATTTATGATTCATTCAAGCTATTCAGTGCGAAGGAAAATGAAGTTTAGTGATCAAACAGCTAATCCGTGTCGGGTAGAAACAGGTGTCTACCTCAGTACAATAGAAGATGGTCGCGCAACTTCGTGGATTGGTTGAGGTTAGACATTAAAACCATTGGATGCCGGCTCAGTGGTCCAGTAGGTTGAGCGTCCGCACGCGAAACTGAAGGCCCTGGGTTCGAAGCCCGCGAGCGGGATCGTGGATGCGCACTGCTGAGGAGTCCCACAGTAGTTCGAAACAGCCATCCAGTTCTTCCAGGTTTTCAATGGTGGTTTAACATCAATCGGTTCATGATCTCAATCAAAAACCTAACAATCTCCACAACCCCTAAACTGATACTTATAATAACAATTGAAGAGAGATTTTAAAATTTTTAATTTACATCAAAATTATATTCATGGAAGGTATTTTAGGAAGTGCTGTATATTGATTAATCAAATGTAATAATACATATTCTCTTTAAAAAAAAGAAAATGGTAGCAATATTTCACATTTCAATCAATAGGAATATAAACTAAAAGAAAAACACTTGGTATTGTTTCGCTTGTATCTTTCCATTGAGGTTTAAGACTGCCAATAACAGACTGATCAATTGCAGTTTTTAATAACAATGGGAAGATACAAGCAAAACAACACCAAGTGAATTTAAACTTGACCACATTGCACAAGCAGGTGGCTATCAGCACTCAGTAGGTGAGTGGATAACGCGATGGCGTTTGAAGCGAACGGTACTGTACTGGGTTCGAGTGCCACAGTGAACATCAACTGTCAGATGCAGGTACATCCAGCTGACCAGTCCCAGATAGGACGAAACGCGCGTCATGGATCCCACTGCTAGCCACTATCCATCATTGCTTACTAAAAGAAAAACAGTTTCTCACAGATCTATATGAAATAAAATTAGATTTCTATCTAACAAAAGTTATTCAGCAGAGAATCATGTACTCGACCTGTAATGATAGATTCATGTGCTAAGTTCAGTGGGAAGATAAGAAATTAAAACATCTAGGTCAGACAGTGAATCTTTTGATTTATTGATTTGAAAACTAATTTTTAGATACAAGAAGTTATAACATACGTAAAATCTACAATTCTGTAATTGACTGATATCCAAAATCTCCGTGTAATAGAAGTTAGACATTTCACTAATTGTATCAAACCAAAAAGAAAAACTATAATCATTCTGAGAACTTAAAATTATAACATACTGGATAATTTGTTTCAGGAAAATGTCTGTATATGTCTATGTTAAGGATTTTTTTGGATATTATAGGAATTTTAATAGTTGGGATCATGAATCAATTGAAGCTAGACCACCATGGAAAACCTGAGACCGTCCAGTGATTCCATGTTGGTCTAGCTTCAATTGATTCATGATCTCAACTATGTTATGACTTTATGTTCGGCTTTTTATCACGTAATTTATCCACCAATCAAAGTACAACCTATGCAATCTTCGCACTGTGCCAAACCAATGACGTTCGACCGGTATGAGCAGCCCAGCGTCCTTATTGGTCCTATGTCCTCCTAGCCCGTCCACTTGAGTCCAGAACACCAAATACCAGCTTCCAATATGCGAATAATATATTTCAAACATACTGTGTTTATATATCAACCAGACAGACCGCAACGCACCATAAAATAGGAAATAATATTTGTACACAATAAAGTCCAAAAGTGGCTGTGGACGTGGGAGGCAGTAATGAGCATAATTTATAGACAGTAAATCGTATAATAATAAATTATAGGTCAAAATGAAGCTTATAATAAAAGGGATATAAATATACATAATCTAACTATTGAATAATTATACAATAAGAATATTTATAGAATATTAGTCCATTAATAATCCTCGGAAGTTACCCGTAATTTAATCTTTACTGGGATATAACAAACCATTAAAAAAATTGTCTGTTAAAATGACATCTCTCATTATCAATTTTACTTGACAGGAAACTAATAAAACTACAGGTAGAAATCAATGAAATTGATAGAAAAAAGACAAATGTCTATAGACCAACTGTAATGACTACAATTTTAAAAGATGTAACGTCATTTCCTTATGATTTAATAATAACATCTGATTGCCTATGTTTCCATAGTTTTGTGCACAGGAATAGTTAAATCTGTCTATGAATTTTTTATCGTAGAAGGTAATGTGATTATATATCTTCAGTTTTTAATATTAGAAAATACTATAGAAATCTATGTACCGAATAAACTTGTGCAATTATAACAAACCAAGACTGAAAATCGTTGCCTGAGCGATATATATATATAGACTGAATACTACTCCATTGTTTTTAAGGGCGGGAAACATGCCCAATGAACGGAATAAGAAAACACAAACACTTGTTAACATTGTAGTCCTTTGACTAGCAGTTAATTAATGATGTACTATTCAGTGATAAACTACCGTTACAGTTCCTATAAACACTGATTTATAATATTTAATCATTCTATAAGTCAACATTTTATTTTACATAACACTAATTTATCTAGTGAAACAAAATAACTTTGTTAGATATGAACATTTCTATTACTGTCTGATAACATTCTGCTTAATTCAAGTAGCTAATCACTCAACACTATTGCTTTATATCGTAAGTTTTATAATCTGAAGAAACTATAGGAATTCAAATTATATATTAGGTTAAAACAATCCTACATTGTTCACCTAACAAAACGTGAATAACTTGAAAGTTCTTCGAGTATAATTGAATTGTAGTACTGTAGTGAACAAGAATGTATTCGATACGAAATTACAAAACATCTCAATGAAATCTGAGAACCATATAGTAAATCCTTAATTTGCAAAATATCAATCTATTGTCTCAAGCTTGACTGTTCTTTATGCAAACATCAATCCATCATCTCAGATTTGATTGTTCATACACTTTCTTTCCTCATCGACCTACTGAAATACATTCTATGCCTGACCGCCGTTATATACTACTTGTGTGGATATAAGTAACCCACACCACAGTACTTCTGATAGTAGTTGAAAACTTCTACACTGAAATATATGATAACAATGAATATCATTTTGGTTTAAGAGTGAACCGCAACCTAAAAGCTGATCAGAAATAAAATCAAAACCTGCGGCTTTATTTAATTTTCATTTCTAAGATCTTAGAAAATCTCAAATGGTAGAAAAACTTTTATTTTATTAGCTTGTACAATATGCTTTAAAATTACATGATATTTTACACTCTGAATCTTATTGATTAGTTAAATACATTTTAATAGTTTCTAATCTTGTTTTCAATTCACCGCAATTTTCTTTTATTCATTTCATAATTATTTTAATATACGCCTACATATGGTTATCGGAAAATACATTAATGAGTATATGGACTCATTTAAAAAATAGTTAAAATTTCATTTCATAAAAAACTATAAATATATGAGAAATTCTCAATAATCCACTTCACCCAATCAAGGAAATAAATCATTAATTCTTTTTAATAAGTCATTTAATCAATCATATTTTGTGGAAAATATTTTTTTCGCTTCTTATCTCTGTGTAAAGTTTATTTGTATTCTCAGAAAAGATTATTTTGGATGGTTGACTATTCTGTAAATGTTGTGGATCAATAAATATGGGTATTAACAAATAAACGTTACCTATCAAAGATAGGTGTTCAACCATTCGAACGTTATAAAGTTTAGTGACTCAACGACTTTCATAACATTTATGGGATGTGATAATGTTTCATTGATAATAGCTAGTGTATGTACCAGAATGCTTCGAGACTAGTCGACTAGATACCTTCGATTTTAATTATTGTTGCGTTTTGTAACTATTCGAGAAGGTCATAAGCTGAAATTTCCTTTTTCAAATCAAACTTGATGAGCAGTCAATGATGTCCAGATTTGATCAACTTGGTAGGATTCACGCAAAAATAACAAGTCACCGGTGTTGTGATGGCAACTGACATTTTCAAGTCAATAAGCATTTAAGTAAACTAACTAGACGTTTTCAGATAATAACTACGAACGAAATCCTCACACTATGAAGACACCTGACTAAATAATATGTTACTTGTTTGTGCGAAAATTTGGATGAAACCCACGGGAAGTAAATAGAGGGGATGTCGACTATCCAATGGCAAAATAATTAAACTTGTCTCTATGTTGATTAAATTATTTTAAAAAATTTGTATTTTTCACTTAATCCAATTGAAGCAGAAAAGCGAAAGCAACACTGATAGCAGAATATAAGCGTAAGTTGTTTCAATAACAATTGGATAAATACAATTGCAAAGAGCGACGAACGTACCTCTATATGGAACAACAAAAGATTTGCTGAAGTACCAGTTATCAAGGACCCTGGCTCAAATAAGCCTATCATATATATATATATATATATATATATATATATATATATATACTATTGTTTAGCTTTAAAGCGAAAACAACTGATTATCATTAACTCACTTCAATAACTAAATACCAGTTTCTATGTATTAAGATTCAAGTCATACGTTGAATATAGTACGTCGATCATGATGTTGTATGACATGTGAAAGTTCTAGTAGATACATTAGATTTGAACCTACAACAACTCAACGATTTGGAGGCTTAAAGACATTAAACCATAGTTAAAAATTCCATTTTTTTTTAATATGCAAGGATGAAGCATAAGCACAGAAGTGAATATAAACACATATGCAACTTTTTTTCTTTAAAAAAAACGGAACTATATTACAAATGAAATAAATGCATAACTATAAATTAATGATTAAAAGCTCTAAAAGAAAAAAAAAGAAAGAAAATAACCGTCTTGTTCATGTACACGAAAGAAATAAGCAAATTTAAACAAAAGAAAAGCATTGACAAACAAGATCATAATGATAAAGCCATTAAATATTGCACATAACAACAACAACAATAAAAAATACATTGTTCGCATGTATGAGTAGGTATGCCTATACTTATTTAAAAAAATGGCTTGAATAGATGCCTTACGTGTACAATAAACACGAATGAATATGAGAGATATGACGCTAATGGATACTATAAGGACAACCGAAAAATCTATTATTCACTAATATAAGAAGGCCATTATGATTTAGTATGTATATGGATAAACAGTACTAATGATACATATACAATAATTTTTTTAAATATTAGATAGTTTAAAAACAGATTAAATGTAATAAGTAAGTAGGTTAATAACAAACAACAATAAAAAATGTCCAATACTTTCTGTTCTCAGTAAATTGACTGAAGACAAATAGAATTGAAATTTTTCTTATTAAATTTCGAAATCATCAAAACTATTATCTTGATGAAATAATCCAAGATGATGATAACGATTTGTATTATTAAATCTATCCGTTTTATTTGAATTGAATTTGTATGCAGGATTTTCATAACCATTCAATTGCCAATTATGTATTAAATCGTTATGATGATGATGATTTGTTATTGATTTTGAAGTATTTCTAAGACGATTATGTTTAACTGGTAAAAATTGTGGTGAATTGACTTTTGGTGCTATTACTTCATCAACTTCTACAACAGTTAATGTATAACCTTTACGATTATATCGAATTGAAGCAAAATAACGACGTAAAACAATAAATAAACAAATAAAGCATAAAACTATTCCTAGAAGAATTAATAAAATATAAGTTGTTTTATGAACATGTATTTGAGTTGATAAATTAATAACAGTAGATGAATTGGATGTATTAAATGCTGGATCAGAATGTAACTAAAAGTAAAATAGAATAAAAAGAAGCAATAAAATGTTTAGAGATAATAAATCATGATAAAATTTACATTTATATTGAACGAAATCTTAAAACAACCACAGTATATATATAACTATATGCTAACTAGTAATTATCCCTGCTGAATGACGTGTACGATTAAAGATAAGAGTTTACTACTTCTTCTTCTTCTCAAAATGCTTATACATGACCAAGGCAAAGAAGGATAAACTATTTTGAAAGTGTTTGATTGTCTTCTAGATTAAACCTTTTGGTAATAGGCCTAGAGGGTGGTTGAGTAGAAAAATCATTTCTTTTGGTTTGGATGTCAGTATCCCAGTTTACACATTAGTATAATAATGCATATTAATAATTCTGGGTTGAATTTTCAATGACCTTTTATTGTTATAGTGGTTACTGTTAGGTATAAATAGTTAGTTTATCGGTTATAACACTTATTACAAGTGAATGAATCATTTATTTCTGTAATTTAAAAGTAAGATTAACTCAATTTCAGTAGTAAATGAATTGAAAATTCAGCAGTTGCAGAATAAGCTGACCATTTTTACACTTCGAATTTCACACGGTGCTAGTTTTCTCGAAAACATAACTAGAATGATTTATGATAGTGTCACACAAATGTATTACAATAAGGTTGATGGTAATAACTTCTAGGATTTATTCTAAGACATCCTGTGTAAACTCAGTTATTAGATGTTGACAGAAGAGGCCAATCTTTCGTTACATGCTTTGAAGGAAACTTATTAAGAAAAGTTAAATATATAGAGCTTCTACATAATTTTGTTTTAACCGAAATATATAATTGACAGACGTAGTTGAAACGCTAGAGACTATTTATACCAGAGGTAGATGGCTTCGGTAGTGCTGTGTTCTCTATGCTAGACGGTTTGATAACGAAGCTTATGTTGTCGCTCTGGACATTATCAGCTGTTAACGCTCTACAATTAAACCATCTAGCTGAAAGAATGCAACAATCTAGAAAAAAACACGTATATCCACATTATTACTAATCATACAAAGTAAATCCAAGGCATACAACACATACCATAGCAACACTTATATTCTGATATGAACCAAATTGAACAGTTGTTTTATTTTCTGTTATTTCACTACTATTCATATGAGGTGTACGTTGATTTTGATTTATTGATAGAGATGAAGAATAATCCACAGTGCTTAGCAATGACTTCGCATCAATATCGACCAAGTTGTAAAGTGTTGGAATAATTGTAGTTGTTTTCATTTGATGAGAATGAGAAAAGTCTTAAATAAATAAATCATGAGAAAATAAGGATAAAAAAAGTACGTCAATAGGGTTTTTAAAAATTTTGACTTCATATTAATAATAAACACTGAAAACGTTAACAATTCATCTCAAAATGGACATCTGGATCTTAATTGTCTGAAGTAATTATTCAGTAAATAGGTAAACTATCTACCAATCCATTCAATGAGGTATAATGAGGGATGTAACAAATAAAATGAACAGACGTGTACAAGACCTGACCAGTTACAATTTGCACAGTTGCACGGGTACTAAGATTTACTTAATCATATACAAACAAAAGTAACGCCACTACATTACTTACACAATGTCACTAAATGTGAACATGCTTTTAGGAAGAATGATGATTGGTGAAGAAAATGTGAACCTGTTGGCTCCAACGACAGTCAATCCAAGAAACTTTACAATTGAATCACGACTAACATGGTCGGTAAGAGTAGAGGATATCCGTAGGCTACTAGTATTTGATCATAGGTGTCTTCAAAATATTGCTCGTATATCCTAAGACCATCGAGTAGGTAGCGCAGTTGTTAGGAAACGGGTACTAGGTAAGGATGGCAAATCAATTGATGAAGTAGTGAAACTTCATCAGTTGAGATGACTGGGACACGTGTTACATATGGCCAACGACCGACTGCCTCGACGTGCAATGTTCAGTGGTATAGGAGTAGGTTGGAAGAAAGCTGGAAGCGGCCAAACCAAAACATGGCACAAGTTCATGAAGTCACTGACAAGTGGACTGAGTCATGTTGGTAGGTGTAGACTAGCTGGTTGGGATCCGCGAGATGATAGCAAACGATGGTTAGAGACCCTGAATGACATGGCTCAAAATCGTTTGCAATGGTGCAGGTGCATCTACTCTTTGTGTTCTCCCAAATTTTGATTTCCTTATTCCTCCTTGTCTCTTTTTTTTCTCCTCTCAAATTTATTTCACTGTATTATACTCTTTAAGTAACATCTCCAAACACTAATCTTCCCGATTACTGCTTATACTCTTATTACCTCTACTACTACGGGATTTGAATCGATCACTGCATCTCAGTGCTAATGTGGTGTGGCAACTCGAACTGATGTGCATACGTACGAAGTTCTACGTTGTTACTGACTGACTGACTGAAGACGAAAGATAACTGAATCAAGCTCTGAATTTGTTAGTTAAGTATTATAACAAACTACATGAATAGAATATTTTGTAATATAGATAAATGGTCATCCAGTTCTTTTACAGTCACACATTGTTATATAATCAAATCATATTAAACAGGCTTAGAATAACATCTAGATAGGAGACTGTTCAGAATGTCAATCACAATAGTTCAGTCAACACAAGTACTGTGTACCTCATCTTCCAAAAGAGATGAAATCATCTAATACCAAAGATCACATATCAGTGATTTGTTTCACAGAAATCGAAATACTTAATAAAATAACAAATAAATAGGAAACGAAATATCTAAAAATTAATACAAAATTATAGACGAATAGATATTTCGCATATTATTAATATTTTAGAAGAAATGATAAATTTTAAAATGATAGTATAAATATATTCTTGATAATTTCAATAGTTTACTTTTATTTTGATTGCCTCCAAAAAGATGATCTGTCAACATTTTTTGTCTCTTAGGTGGCTTAATCCAACTTTTGTTCGATTTGTTGGTCGCCAGCTTGTCTAAATATAACGGTTCTAGATGATGACGATGTTTGGCTATAATCTTTTCAGCTTTTAATGATGCCTGTTCTTGAAATGTAGGCAGTTTAATCATATCTGGTAAGGTAATATCGGCGAATAAAACAGCTTTTGACTGAGCTTCCAATTTGCGATATTTGTTATTTCGAAGATAATTTGCATAAGTTAACAAAGATGAGTTTAGTTCTGGATGCTACAATGTCGGTAGACAAAAAAGAGGTTAGAACTATCGATACAAGAAATAAATATAGAGAACAGTGTACATATATATATATATATATATATATATATATATATAGTAAATGGAATGTAGCTAGCAGTAGAATCCTAGCTCCAATTTACGATATATTTAATATGGTGATCCTTTATACTCCTACTCCCCACGGTTATTCTGGAACACAAATATAGATCCGAAGACTAATTGGAATTTGCAAGGGCTCTTACTGGGAAACTTACTTATTTTTATAAGATTAAGAACACTACTCAATTAATTCATGCCATTGAGTCTACTTGGCCATCATTAGTTTTTTCATCTACTCTTATGAATGCTAGGACAGAAAATCGAAGTGAAAGCTGGTTGGGAGATTTGTTACACCTCCCCAACCAACTCGGGCTGATCAATAAACCCAGCATTTCTACCTATAATTCTACAATTACGCCATCATTACCTAATTGTTGACTCCATAACGAATGAGCAACCTTATAAATACATTAATGGCCACGTGCCTTCTGGTTCCATAGATAACGTCACACACTCAGTCATTCACGACGTAGGACATGGCACTAATGTGTAAAAGCTATGGTTGCCACACTACTTCAGCACAGTAAGATAAGTTTAACAAGATGAAACCCAAGGTACTATCCATGATAGTAGAAAAAAGATCTAGAATAAATAAGACAGGTTCGGAGAGATGAAAGAATATAAATTGAAATTTCGCACAGTAAGACGGCTTTCTGATAATTAGATGGATATATTGTCTGTGACTCAGGTAGCGTAAATCAGTAAGAACCTAACGAGCTGTTAGTATACATCGCAAAATTTCATCAACTGATAGGAAATGCTACTATATCAATGAACCGATCAACACCGATGATCATTTCATTCCCTATCATTACAAACTAGGCACTGATAATAATATGTAGTTAGTACAACTGCATCTTATCTCTTTCATTTGATTTTTATGGCCACACTTGTATTGTTTTAGATTGACAGGGATTAAGTTTGCGAATATATTACACGAAAGTAACCGACGTCAAGATTAATTACAATGCCAATGGAATTTAAATACCTCGAACTATCAAATAACTGCAACTAATAAAAAGACTTAAGATGAATAAATTTATATCACTTATAACATTAAAGTTTAGAAGAGGAGTCAAACATTCGTTTGACGACTAGAACAATAAAGTTGTATTAGTGAAAATACTTACCAGATTTATTTTTTCCAAACTTTTATTAAGCAAAATATCAAGTTCAACCAATCTGTCCTTAATAGATGCTAATTGTTGAGCAGCTTCAGGTAGCTCCATATTGCGTAAATGTTCGAATCGTTTAACATAGTGACTGCGGTCATGTTCAACAACTCGGAATAAACGCTTTAGCGTTTCAAACAGTGTGAAATTCTGCGAGTCAGTGGTATTGAAAATAGGCAAAATAAGGCATACTTTACACTCACTAAATTGATTCTTTGTTTTTAGATAACAACTACGAAAGTAGTAAGCATAAAAACACTATTAGACAAAATCATTTGGATTTGGAAATATACGTATATAACAATTCCTGATCACATTTTTCATAACTACTCGGTCAACAAATCAAATAAGACATGTGAAAATTAAAATATGCCTGGTAAAAACAAGACCACTGATTTATTTGCTTAACAAATTGTAACGCTATCTGTGATTAAACTGTATTTTAGAGGATATGCTGAGGGAAGAGTAGGAAAAATTAATTCATGAATTTTTCATTATTTTTTGGGAACTTGATTAGTATACGATTTAGTGAGCACAGCTTTGAAGACGTTAGATTTACCTAAGTGGGAGCAAATAAACTATTTCTTTTACCAAAACGTTCTTGACAGCAAGACCAATATCTATGTGATTGCAGTGATCAAGTCGACGGCGATTCACTGATTAAAGCATTAAGCTTGTATCTACGCAGTCACAGGTTCGAGCCCCGTTCCACCCGCTCCCGATAGTATCATCAGCCCTAATATATAGTGTTTAGAAACCAAACACACAGATCTGCACTTGATGAGTTAATTCATCACAATAAAATATTTTATTGTCATTTTGTATTTATCAGACGGTAATCAGGCCCTATTATCCTCTAACAGTTTTTCATGATTATTATTCAACTGTTTTTATGACATTTCTGTTGCTCGCTTTTCTTCATATCTGTCAAGTCGACAATTATCTCATATTTTTAGCCCGTAAATAATTCCCATAACCCTTTGTTCACGAAACCGAATTTCGATATTCGAAATATCAAATCACTTTATGATCTCTCCTATCTATTTATAGACTGATATTTTATCAAACAACCATAAATACCAATGTACAGCTTAAGTGAGTGATTTCGTCGAAAATAAAATTTTCTTCGCTGAATCATCGTTATTCAATTATACAACGGGTTACTTTAATAATAGTAATAATAATAATACTTTGATAGTAATGATAATACATTGATAATATAGCTCAGATTTCAACCAAATTCATCCATGACTAATGAAAATTAGTTATATGATACGAGTAAACATTTTATGTAGTACAATGTAAAACAATAAAAACAAAATTACTTCTGTGTGGAAACTCACATTTGGATTTTTAATATTCATAGCCTTTTCCCATGCATTCTGCATTGCATTTCTGCGTTCAAGCATTTGAGCTTCAATTCGCTGATGATGAATTGTTTCCAAAGTCTCCCGATTTCGTTCCGACTGATTTTCCAATTTAATAAATTTACTCCGAAACTCCTTACGAAAATTAACAAACGGTATCAAAATAACCATTCAAAATGCTTAGCACAGTTTAATAACTCACAAAGAGTTAATGAATGAAGGTATTTATATCATATTCTCAAAAGACTTTCCAAAAAAAGTACAATTTTCAGTCAATAAATTTTAACATATAAAAGTTGTTTAATCCAGTTTAATCTTTCGGCAGTGAATTTGTAAAGTAATTTTTTCATATCCTTTGATAGCTTTATATGGTAATTAAGTAATTGTAAAGAAAAAAAACAGATGTAATAAAACTTTTCCTTCGTTAATTTTCCTAATACTGTTTCATTATGAGACTAATCGAAGTGACGTGAATATTTGTTGTATTTATGTGTGGAGGAAAAATTAGACTAAATAAAATAAATAAGTGAATATGAAGAATTTTTCGAAAAGCCCTTGAAATAAAAGTACCAGAAATAGTTCAGATATAGCTGTTTTAAAAGAACTCAACAATATAGCTGTTATCCTCAAAGTATTTTGAAAGTAGTATTACATTACCTATTTCCTGGTTCCCTCAAACTAATCAAAGAATATTCATCCGACCCACAATGGAGTAAGAAATTAACACTAGGAACCAGAAAACAGGTACTCTTACCATACATGTAAAACATTTCAACGATGTTGAGAAATTCAAAAACAAGTGCAGCCACAAGCTCATAATCTAACCCATACCATATAATCCACATCAAGGACAGAACAAATATGATTTATAAAACAAGCTGCAGCAACTGGAAGAAACGTTACACCAGACAACATGGTCACCATCTTTGTGTATGAACATATATCACCTGAGTAAGTCATAAGCTGTGGAAAACCCGGCTTAAGTTGCCACACCACAACAGCACAGCGAGACGGAGTTGCTTAAATCAGTGCATAAATAACTGTTAACACGAAGTCGACTGAGGCGTTGAAATATTGGGCAGGTGCAAAAACTGGACCATGGAATTTCAGGAGGTTTGGAACTTAAATCACTAAGGAATCAGCAAGCAAATTAGGATATAACCCACGATACGACTTAAGAGTGATCTCAGTGGAGTGGCTGAACTTATTTGCTATCATCCTCTGAATAACAAGTTTGGTGTAATCTCAAATTTCTCATTCTTCAGTTTTATTAGTTTCGATTGAACTATGTTTATCTTCGTAATTTTCTATTAACATTGATACTATTTCCCTTCCCGTTCTTCTGAACTTGTTAATTTTCTCTTGCACTATCCCAATGTAAAGTGTAGCAACTCCGACTGATAAGCATTCAAGCCAGGTTCTGTGTTACGACAGAGACTCAATCAATTGGTCACTAGTAAAAATGATAAATAGCTACAAGACTAGGCTCGGAAAGAAAATAAACAAGATATAAGGATAGATAATGATGTCGTAATTATTGGGAAACACCCGTTGAAAGCATCATAGATACACCACGCCAATATAATTATTATTTATTATTATACAGTCCACAGGAAAAATTGCTAAACATAGAAATCCCGTGTTTACATTTGACAAAGAACCACTGCTTACAGATAGTGTACTGAATCACAAAAGCCGTGTGAAGGCTGTTAATTAGACTCCTTTATCCAACTTAAATGAAACCAGTTTAAACTGATGACCCTATAGTAATCAATAAGTCACAGTTTTCCGAGACTAGTCATATGAATAAACGCAATAGATTTTAGAACGAAAAAACAAGAGCAACAATAACAGAAAATTACTGTAGCAAATTATGGTACAAATCGACACGAAACAAAGAAGTATGAAGTTAAAACGAACAACAACTTAACAACACAAGACAGTGAAAAATTAGGGTTGAACTAAAGAAACAACTTTGTTGCTCACTTGAACTAAACTGTCCTCCTCGAGCTGACTTTTAACTGGTTCGTTCAGCCAATCCTTAGGTGAAATCAGTGATTCTTCACTTGAAAATTCTTGCTCTAGCACTTTTTCCCGTTTGTGTAAGTCATTACTCAATGCTAATTTAGCTTGACTATAACGTTCACGCTCAGGTATTAATAAACCAGAGGAATTTTGTTTCGTGGATGACAAATAATTAGTGACAGTTTTGTCACTATCCCAGGCATCATTCTCGGTGGAAGTTAATTTATTACCCAAGCTATTGAGTTTATGGGACATTGAACTGGTATTGTTTCCAAGGTTAGTAAATGGTTTCATAACGACAGCAGATTCTAAAATCAACATCCAATAGATAAAACTAATCATATATATAAGTGCGACAACGTAGATTCTTCACGAGCTAGCTTTGGTATCCAACATTTTGAACAAAATTTAATCTTAACAGCAAAATTAAGTGAGATATGTATTATCATCAAAACACTGGTTGTAGGCGGAAACGATTTTACTTGTACATCGATACTATGTCTACACTTTGGTAAAAGAGCCACTAATTGAGGATTTCAAAAAGTAAACAATCTATTAAATAAGAACCGACGCTGTGCTAGTAAGAAGATTTACAGCGAACAGACCCCTAAAATAGGGAGCTAATTTCTGAATACTCGAGATAGGACTAACAGCAGTTTGATGAATGACAAGTTCGAGCCTTGCTCCATGCAACTTAGGTTAGGGAACTAGGTAGTGTCACCACTACCTACACTTAGAGTACGATTTGAAGCTAAGAATATGAATCTGTGCTAAATTTTAAAAAAATCATATGCTTGGTGTTGAGACACGCTCTGTGAAGGTTAATGATACTACCAAGTTGGCCAAACCGAAGTGCGGTGGACTCGGGTTTGCAACCTTGCGAATAAAAGTCAAAAGTCATAAACACTAAGCTACTAAAAATTAGGCGGCCAGAGCATGGAGCAATTCTATGAAGAAGAGGATGGACTGCTAATTCGTCAAGATAGTAAAATGAATTCCAATTTGCCTGCGAGATAAAATGATAACATGGCAATTAATTGGTTTGGTTTGCAAAGAAACATCAAGCATTTACGCTAACTTGACATCTAAGTAAGAGAGTACAGCCAACGAATCAATAGCAATGAAATAATCGTAGTTCTGTTACTATTAAGGTAAATCAGTCAGTCAGTCAGCCACAACGTAGGACCAGGCACATATATGCATCGGTCCAAGTTGCCATACCTCATTAACACAACAAGATGGACACCGGATTCATAAAAGTAGTTAATTCAGAGGTGGTAATATATAAAAGAAAGATTGCAATAAGAAAATAGTACAGGAAGATTAAGCTAAATGAACTGCATGAAACAATAATATAAACGATATTCCAGAGGAGAAATGATTGAACTGAAGGAAAACAAAGCCTTTGGTCTAACAATCCTACAAGTAGCATAAACTATCCCCGATTAACGAAATGCTGTGGTTTAGAAGCGTCTGTATAGTGTTTAAAAACAGGATTATTTTTACATTTTAAGAAAACTATTTTGGTGGTACTTTATGTTGAAAATATGTTATTGCGTGAAAATAGGATCAACAAGGCTTGAAGCTGAGATAAGCACGAAACAGTTCCTTTATGTAAAGCAGAATAATGTATATCGAACGACGACTCATGTATTATCAGTCTAGTGATCAAGTGAAGATAATTTAATTCAATCTGTACACATTCCAACAGACCACATGCAAAAAAACACTTACTTGTAAATTCAGAGTCAAGATTTTCACAACACACTACTTTAGCAGCCGCAAAATACATAGAACCAAAGTCCTTTTCTCTGATACAAGGTTTGAATGGTAGATAGTTCTGAAATCGCATGTTGCGTCTCAGGCAAGCTTCTCGGGTGGAATTCTCCCAGAACTTGTAGTTTTCACAGACGTAACTCCGATCATTATCAAGGCTGCTTAACTGACAACCAACAGGAGTAAACAATTTGGACATCGGGATATTATCTACAGAACCAATTTTTTAATAGTAACATTTGAAACATACCAAGGCATATAAATGGCCTAATCTCATGTCGTTCACCATCGACTTTTTGACACTTTGCAAGTTTTCTATGTTCAAACTCACACCAATCTGACAGTACCACGTCAATAGGAGGAGAGGCGATGACTGCGGTTATGTTTCTTTCGCTGTATACTTTCTTACAATAATTCAAGATCGACAATTCATCCTCAAGGCAATCCTGAGTAAAATCCGTCACCCAAAACTCATTGTTCAAATAAATGGCCGGTTTACCACACTCAAATGCTACTGAATACAAAGAGTGACCCAGAACGATGAAATTAGAGAAAATCAAAAAGCCGAGGAAGTTGAACATAATGGGCTATAAAACGATATTCGGACAGTTAAAATGTCTGGAATACAAATTTGTCAGACGAATCCAAAGAGGAAACAGATTTGTTAGTAAGAACATAACAAATTAGGTCAGCCAAGTAACAGTTTTAGCCTGAAAATATAAGACAAACAAGACGACTTAAATGAGCCTCAGAGCAAGTCCACTCCATGCACATGAAAGCGTTATGTGGCCAAAAAAAATCAGATCAAGTACCTAACCATATATTGTGACTAGACAATCTAATGAAAGCAGGGAAACCCGCCAAACTTAGCAGTTTTAAAGCGACCGCTTATAGAGTTCAAGCGAGCTACCGACCGGAAAAAACAACTGTAACCTAAAACAATAACTGAATTTTCTGCCACTTAAACTTCAAGGACAGCAACCGCAGCTCTTGGATCTCTAGAGTGTTGAGATGCTTAGTGACAAGATTTATTGAGGGTTCGTTAGATTTCGTTAGACTTCCTAGGACACACTATCGATGCTCAAGGTATCCGACCCCTTAGAACCAAAGTGGCGGCCATTCTGGATTACCAAGAACCGACCACCGTCAAGCAATTACGCACGTTTAACGGCCTCGTAAGTTTCTATAGACGTTTCATACCGAAATGCGCATTACTTATGAAACCTCTGACCGACCAACTTCGTGGAAATGCGAAATCCATTAATTTGGACGACACCGCACGAAAAGCATTCTCCACAGTTAAGCAACTGATTGCTAAAGCAACAATGCTCGCACATCAGGACACCCGAGCACCCATTAGCATCGCAGTAGACGCATCGGACTTGGCAATCGGTGGCGTCTTACAACAATGGGTTAACAACTCCTGGCAACCCTTGGCATTTTTCTCTATAAGGTTGCTAGACACCGAATCGAGGTACAGCACATTCGGTAGGGAACTCCTAGCTATGTATTGTGCTGTACGGCATTTCCAACACTATATCGAAGGTCGTGAATTCACTCTTTTCACGGACCATAAACCGCTCACTTTCTCGTTAAGCTCTCCTTCTGACAAGTACTCTCCCCGTGAGTCTCGACAACTGGACTACATTTCGCAGTTTACTTCGGATATTCAACACATCTCTGGAGCAAACAATGTAGTTGCAGACGCTTTATCTCGCATAACTTCCTTGAACAGTTTCCAAGGGATCGACCTTCTTAAACTCGCCGAGCTTCAAACAAAAGACAGTGATCTTCAGCACGAGTTATCGTCCACAACACTTAAACTACGCATCAAACAGATGGGAACAGGTAAGGAAACCTTACTTTGTGACACATCTACAGGTATGGATCGCCCAATCGTGCCGAAACATTATCGATGCAATGTCTTCAACACTTTGCACAAACTTTCTCATCCAGGTGTTCGTGCAACCACCAAGCTTATAGCAGAAAGGTTTTGCTGGCCTGGAATGAATAAAGATGTGAGGGAGTGGGCACGCTCCTGTGTAAGCTGCCAAAATCTAAGGTTATCAGACACAATAAATGTCCCTTACACTCATCTGAAACTCCCGATGCTCGTTTCGACCATGTTCATCTGGATTTGGTAGGACCTTTACCAGATTCAAACGGATACTCTTATCTCTTAACCTGCGTTGACCGTTTCACTCGATGGCCAGAAGCAGTACCTATCAAGGACATCACTGCAGAAACAGTGGCCCGCGCCTTCGTCGAACGATGGGTAGCAAACTTCGGCTGCCCTTCAACCATCACTACAGACCGCGGACGTCAGTTTGAATCCGATCATTTCCGTCGTCTAACCACACTTTTAGGAATCACTCGCTTCCGAATGACCGCCTACCATCCACAAGCAAACAGGTTGGTAGAACGTTTTCACCGACAACTGAAAGCTTCGCTATCAGCTGCAAACGTTTCACAATGGACCGACACTCTTCCACTCGTCTTACTAGGTATCCGCAATGCAGTGAAAGCTGACATTGGATACACTGCAGCTCAACTCGTTTATGGAACAACACTTCGACTTCCAGGAGAATTCGTGGATCCTTCATCCTCTTCAATGAACATGGATCTAACCTCCTACACGAACAGGCTTACAAACGCAATGCGTTCAGTTAAACCTGCTTCCACTCGACCTCAATCAACTGATGTTTTCGTTCAACCTGACTTACGATATAGTACACACGTTTTCGTCCGTCGAGACTCGCATCGACGACCATTCGAATCAGCATACGAAGGACCCTTCAAAGTTCTTCAACGTGAATCTAAGTACTATATAGTCGATAAGAACGGAACCAACGATAGCATCAGCATCGATCGCTTAAAAGCAGCGTATTTAGAAGGAAATCCTATCTACGTCGATTTTCCTTCGTTACAATCGAACGACACGACTCCGACACTTATAATACCTCATCCGACAACCAACACACACGATGATACTTCGACAGTATCCGAAAATAAACTTAAAACGACGCGTTGTGGAAGAAGAGTAAGATTTCCAGAACATTTAAACGACTACTGCACGTGAAGCACTACTCGACATTTAATATTATTTTTTTAAAAAAAAACAATTTTAATATGCTTATATATTTTTATTTCTATTTTAAAAAAAACAAAACAAAAAACACTTTTTTAACGCTATTACGTGTTCGTGAGTTTATTTTCCTTTTTTTCCGCCGACATTGTGTTTTTACGCACATACGAGTGTATTTTCGATATGCACTTACATTTTCTTTTTTCTTTTCCAGGACGACTGGAAAAAGAACGATGACGTTTATGAGGATCCGAAATTTTCATTGTACATTTTCTTTTTTTACTATGTTGTACCTCCGTCCCATAAAGTAAGGAAAGACGACCAGACGCTGCTACACTTAGTAAGCTATCAGAAGAGTGTTTACCAACGACAAACTCGTTGGGTTTAAACTTCTGGCTGGCCACGTCTTAGGGTCGTCACTGCTCCACTAGGGGGGGAGTGATCTGTAGCGGTAAATAAATCCCCAAAATAAATAGCACTAAGTTTTCGACATTGGATGCTGACCATATGTTTTAGTGGACTCATCTAACTGAAGGCGCTCGGTCAGGCATCCGCACCAGATCACGTGTGGTAACGCCGTGCTCAACATCAACCGCAATCGCTAGCCAGATTAGATCAGAGAATTCCGATATATTGGTCATCGCCAAATATACTCTTCCGATCTCCTCGACTCTGTCTTTTGATTTCTCTGGGTGGGAACGAAATACATTAGAAGGTGTTACTGGTTTAGGCGTTGTCAAACACTGAATACCTGTGACATCATCATTATTAAAGAAATCTCTTATTCATGCAATAGTATAAAACTCTACCCCCATGTTTTGAAAAATACTCAGTATTGGTTCTTCAGACTTGCCAACATATTCTATCTGTTCACGGCAATTTTATGAATCTTTCTAAGTTCTATTTCCAATGTACATAATACATTTTCCTGAAAGCAAACATGTGGATATGTAAAACTACCCAAAACTGAGGCGGAATTAAGTAAAGAGGCCTACTAACAAAGAATGATCCGGTAAAACATTTTAACCTATCTATTCCGTTTGCTTGGAACTTGAAGTAGTGAGATCTCCATGGGCCTGATGTCTGACTCCGTTTGACGATCAAGTGAACAGACAAAGAATACACCATGAAGATGAAGTCTATGTTTAACTTCACGTGTACTGATAACAAAAGCACATTTGGGCGACGGCGGAAAGGAAAGCCAGGCATTGATTCACTCATATGAACATTAAGATGAGAAGTGAAGCAGAGAAAGCAAAGGTGCCTATTCGAAATGCAGCTCACTGCAAGCGTTATTTTGGCATAAAAAGGAATGGCACGTAATGTGACGAGGAAACAGGTACTAGACATAACAATTAGTCTACAGACACACAAGGACACACAACGTCCACAGTCTTAAAATTACAGGAAGATGAATATTTTTCCCCATGTATGTTAAAAGTCACAGTTTCCTGTGGAAAGAAAGAATAAAGTAATTATGAAGATAAAATTGACTCAACAGTACATACTCTCTGAGGTTTTGGAGTCTGTTTGAAAGCTAGGATAAATGATGCACGTGTATGCGTATTTAACGATAAATTACACGAGAAAGATGTGCCAGGCATGTTTGACGTTCTATTATTTTTCACAAACATCTTATGGGTACATAGGTGTTGTGAAGTAACCATTTCGGGTTTCTTCAAAAGTGCAATAATACACAGATTTCAATAATGTTAGCATTATATGTGCTATGATTCAAAAAGCGAGTAATAATAATAGAATAATAATAAATCAGGTTCTGTGTAATTGTGAAGGATATTAAATTGCGTTTAAAGGAAATGGAGAAAGTAAGGGAACGGTGAAAAGGGACGTGAAATGCGCAAATAGTTTAATAGGAGTGTTTATGAACACAGAAGAAGGATAAACGACTATGTATATTGTTATGACCTTGAATCGCTTTTGCCCCGTGATACTTGTTATGACTTCACCGCGATCTGTCTAGTCTAAATTATGACCTTGATGCGTTAGGCTGAGTGGCTTAACCTTGAGTCGAATACGCGTGAGTTCGAGATGGGGTAGAGAGAACTATTCTAAATCCTGATTGGTTGGCAAGCACGCAAGTGAAAGAAGACAAGACAGTTGGAACACTGAACTCTAGATTCTCTGAATTCGGATTAGTACAAAAATGTACATGAATAAATAAGTGAATATCTTGACCACGACGTACAATAATTTGGAAAAATACAGTTACGCCCGAAACAGGGAATTAGGGTAGAAAATACAGTGCAAAATATTATGTTTAAATTACAATATTTTCGGAACAAAAAAGGGTATGCTAGTGAATAATACAGAGAACGAAAGCTCGTGTTATGTAGAATGAGATAGGGACAAAAATAAATATAAGTGTTTTACAGGGTTTGAATGAAATGCAATAACGTCCCAAGAAAATAGCTTTCGTAATTGTCTGGGCTTCTTAATTCCCCGTTCATAACATATATATCGTCAAATTAGTAACAAGAACAAAATGGAAAATAACTGAGAAAACACAACTCATTATTGCATTAAGATGTGACGCTAGAATAAGTGTTTGTGCCGTCATAGTTTGGAGTGGTGCTATGAAAGTCACAATGAGGTGAGAAGGGTAACCAAATATCGATATGTATGAGTCATATGAACATAATAAAGATAAGACGAGTCTGAGAAGTTATCCTAAAAACACTATTTTATCTGCGGCATAATGGTAGCAGAGATACAAACTTACGGAGCCGTAATATCGTCTTTTCAAGAGAACAACGAAATGTACGGTTTATGTATATGTATTGAACATCCATGTGACCATAGGCGAGCCAACATGCGCATAAAAAAGAA